GAAGCGGCAAACCCTGTGCTCCCAATCCAATGGCATTATTAACGCATTTCTTATGCGAACTAAATCTCTGTGTGTTTTCAAAGACAATTCATTTACCATTAGTTCAATCATTTCAACCAAATGTGTGGACACTATTGAGACGACAAATATGAGCGCATTTTCATAGCCCCGGGGTCTCAATAGTGAACACATAATCACGTGTATTACTTGGCGTTACTCCTAATGATAGCCCGAAAGTCTCGGTCTCTGTATTGGATCAAATCGACCAGAAGTTTGGCCCCGAAGTCACCAAACAGTGACCTAATGGACGACATTATCATCAGTTTGTACTGTCGGACACCAATTGGTGGCACCGTTTTGTCTCCGCTCTCGAAGTCTCTGTCGACAATCAAAGCACTCAATTATCACCCAAACTGATCCGCTGATCACAGAAATCTACTCACAATTCAATGTCTAAATAGATGTAATGGCTGTCATCGCGTATGCGCCTAAACCTCACCACCGATGACATCTTGGGATCAATTGGCGATTAGATATCAATGAAATACACGTTTAATGATATGTATAAAATAAATTGAGCACAAAATAGTCAAACAAATGGTGTCTTCAGTGTCTTCAGTGACCACAACAATGGACACAAACGAGTGGTGACTGTGTTATGAGAGCACAGATCACGTGAACCACGTGTTAATCACGTGACACAACACTTGTATGACATTTGAGTGCAAAACAACACAACAGTTGACAAACACTGGAGTCTCGCGTGAAATGTCTTCTTATCACTGAATCTCATATCACATCCCAATCCATACCATCGACACACGTGTGACCTGACGCTCACACCTCGTAACCACACGTCATATCATAATTGGTGTCCATTTTGTTAATTTATTTATTTCATTAAGTCATTGGAAGTGATTAAGTGATTGACAAACACTGGAAGACATGTTGACATTCACTATCCTCGAGAGGATCCGCTTCTACGAAGTGCTCGCAATGAACTCATTTCAGACACACTTATCACCGTTGGAACCGATCTTTATGTTTGCATCCAATTTAGGTACGAATGTCTTAAACAACACCAAAACCTCGTCCTGTTTTCAGATCTAATTACTAATACTATGGTAACTATCACTTCAGCTGATCCATCGAATGGATACATACTCTACTTTGTCTTCGGCCTCCTATTTATCTCGCATTCGGCGGGCTTTAAGATATTGTGGACATCAGTGCTGAGCGAGTGGTTGAATCTGATGCTGAA